TGGACTATACTGATAGTGTGTAGATTATACTTGCATACTTTGCCTAGTTGTAATGGACCAATCAGATTCATGATTCAATTACCATCAAGTTCTTCAGGAGGTTCTCCTGTTTAAAATTGCCCATTTGTATCAGGTTTTGCTAAGTATATGCAGATGCTACAGCTTGTAATTATTGTTAATGGTGGAGACCAGATACAATTACAATTGTATCTACAATTATTTGTATGTAATACGCTAAATTAAAGAATTGTTAAGTTTAAAAATCAATTCTGTGTCATTTCTAAAATTGTTGAATCATCTACAATTTGTATGTGATACAGTCAAGGGTAAATTTACTCTTGATATAGTAAATTCAAAAAGTGTTTATGCTTAATCATTTATTTTTAAATACAATATCAAAAATCACAAAAACTGCATATTTGAAATTTACCAAAAAATCACAAAAATTAAGTCACATCTATACATACAAGCCAGTTCAACTTGAAATGGTTCAGAAACCAGCTCAATTGTGTCCACACTTAACTGCATGTGGTTAAATCAGTTTATAAGTACTACAGTGACCTTCACCCTACAAGAGAAGGAGAGAGAGAGGGGAAGAAGGAAGAGAGAGAAAGGGGAAGGGAGAGAAAGAGATGGAGGGAAGTAAAGCCAGAGGGAGAGAGAGAGAGGGAGGGAGGGACAATAATTATTGATTCCAATACATTAATAAAACGTACAATTGATTTTTGTTTACTGTCACATGATAAAAGATAGACCACACCCATTCCATCCTAGCAGCTGTAATGACTTACTGGTACAAAAACCAGCATCACCTGGAACAACACACAAACAAACATCATTAATAAAATAATATAATATTATCATTTTACCTATTATACTGTATTAAAATAATAATATACACACATTAACTGACTGACTGTGTTTATTATTAGGAGAAGAGACTGGAGAGGTGAAGTGGACTAATGTTAGTGTATCCCTCACTAAACCATCAGCAGGTCAATGTCAGGAAGTGATCAGTCAATTAACGGACAGTCATCAGACCATTAACCTCCATCACTCATCACCTGATATTGTATACTTGATGATGTCTCAAGTACTAGACATAAGAACAATAAAGTGGATTGATATATATAACACTAAAATAACAAAAGATGTCATCCTCTCACTGTCACACACAATAACAAACAATACTTCATTAAAGACACTAGTGATCATTGATGATTCTATCAATGATGATGGAGTCATTGCACTAACACAATCATTAATTAATAATAAAACAATTATTGGCTTATATCTTCAGGACAATCCTGACATCACTTCAACCAGTGCTCAGTCACTAGCTAAACTTTTACTCTACAACCACACACTATCTTCCCTTTACCTCCACCATACTAACATTGATACTGATGGAGTACTGGTACTGATGGAATCTCTCAGGACCAATAATACACTAAGGAGACTATATCTAGACAATAAACATAAACAAACTTGTTCTTCTTTACCTTATTATAAAACTATTAAAAACAATTTAATTTTTTTAATTAATTAAATAATTTTTTATATTTCATATACACCAAGGTGACCGTTTTAGACAGGTTTGACTGTACATTACTTTATTAATAAACAATTTTAATAAACAGATTAAGCTTTTGGTAATTATTTCATATACATGTATACATTAGTTTATTGATAAATTATTAAATGAAAAAAATAATTTTAAAATGTATGTGCCATCAGATTGACCACACCCCTCATGGCAAGAACACACGTCCATTATTCACATGAGGAAAAGAGAGAGAAAGGGAAAGGAGAAGATAAAGATGTTGTAAACACACTACATGTACGTGTCCATATAAACTTATACCACTATCAAACTGATGGGCTCAGTTTCTGTTGAAGACTAGAATACAATTACAGAAATTGGTGAGTTTTAATTTGGCAAATTAGTGTCCATGTGCCATTGAGCATGTACATAATGGTACAAAATGGTGTGTTTTAATTAATTTGACAAATGGCTATCAAAATGGAAAATTTGTCAAAATTTATTCCTGAGCTGGCGTCCAAAATTAACTGGTATATGGTTAGTGACAATATAAAGTTAATTAATAAAATTAATTAATTAATAATTTATTAATAATGTCACTTATTGATTGTCTGGTGGTTAATGAATATTCATTATCTTTAGAGTGTAATCCTTTGTCAACATCATGAACCAGCAATGGATCAATGGACCTTATGCACCGAAATGATTCTAATTAACGCGCCACCAAAGTGGTGGTAAAAATGGCGGATTTTTGGAGGAAAGACAGGCTGAACAATCTTCTCTTTTATCCAGCCATTCTAGATGTAGGAGCCACTTTGAGCTGTCCTTTTGTTTCAGTATACTCTATTTATCTCTTCTGTAAGCTCTTTGGTTGCTGTTTTGGCTTTTATAGCATTTTGTCATAGGAATATTCTCAACCATTGGCCATTCCCGTTTTTCTAAATTTTGCTTTCAGGAGCCAGGGCGCTTGCCCCTCCATTGCCTAGGAAGATAGAAGTGCATTCAGCTGAGTCCTATGACTAGTGTCTATCATCAGAGTTAGTCTCAGTCCATCAGGACAAGGTACGGTGGAATAACTCACTCAGTTGTTATTTTGCAGCTGGAGTGTGGATGATTATGACCATCTTTTCACTTCTTAAAACTATAGACCTTT